GGAGCGCAGGAATGGCCTCCTGCAGGAGGAGCTAGAGGAGATGAAGGTGGCCCTGGAACAGACTGAGCGGACCCGCAGGCTGTCGGAGCAGGAGCTGCTGGACTCCAGCGACCGTGTCCAGCTGCTACACTCCCAGGTACGCTGTCTCTCCTCAACTCCGGTCCACCCTGGGCAGTAGGGCAGTGGCTCTGCCAGATGCTTCCTCTCCTCCTCCATCTCCCACCTCATGATCCACCTGGGGCACCGAGCACGCCAAGTATCTTGGCAAGGAGCTTCCCATTTCTCCCAGACTAGCAGTCAAGACCAAGCCAGGAAAGCGCTGTCTCTGATTGATGGAGCTCTGAGATCTGTTTGACCAGAAATAAAGATGAAAGATCTTGCAGGCTGCATGCAGTAGGACTGGAGCAAGGAAGTAGGGAGGATTCACAGAGGAAATGAGGGTTTAAAACCCCTTATCCAAAATACACATGGCAGGTATTGACTTGGGGCCAGCAGTGTTTTCTGTTCCGGAAGATGTGCATGTGTGAATATTTGCACATACGTAATGAGAGATACTGGGGTTGAATACAAGCCTAAACCTGAAACTCCTTTCTTTATCCACATACCCTGGAGATGATTTTGACTGGGGCTCATTGCATGAGGTGGATGTAGAATTTTGCGCTTAGGCTATCATGTTGCTAACTCAATGTTTTGGATTTTGGATCTTATCTAAATTTCAGGAGTTCAAATAAGAGTGAATGTTCAACCCATAATTTAAGCTGAAATCTTAGGATATTGAAATTTCCCCTCCCCCCCAAAAAACCCATATTTTTTATTAATTTTACAATAATTTAAAGATATTTTATCTAAAGCATATAAATCATAAGCAAGCACATAGAAGAAAAAAATCAATCAAATGGTTAACATGTTATATTCTCTCATTGTTGGGTCTTTGTAAATTATATAAATATTACACTTTTGTAAAACTTTGACCAATGTTTTGCTGCTTCTAACTTTCATTTAACAATGTGTCCAGAATGTATTTCTAACTCTTTAAATAGTTTTCAATGCTGTGGGTTTCAACAGCAAGAAAAAAAAAAAGGCAGGCTATGAAAGTTGAATATTATGACTGCACTCAGTCCTCTATGGCTGGCTATTTTAGATTGTTACCAATAAAATTCTTTATGATTATAAAGGCTAATTAATATTGTCATAACTAACTTTTTGCATTCATCTGTGATTACTATTGTCAATATATCTGGAAGAAAATAAATTCAGGGCCAAAACAGTAAAGACATTTGTATACAACACATGTAAATTTCTACTTAACACGGCTGTCTCAAGTTTTATTCCCATTTATTACCATGTGAGGACTCTTCCACAAATTCCAAAAGACCCTAGCTGTTAAATCTTCACCAACTTTATTGTTCAAACATATGTCATTGGTTTATTACTATTATTATTAGTTTTTACTAAGGATGAGGTAGAACATTTCATCACTTGGGTATCCATCATATTTCTTATGTGTTTTAACTATTCATACTTCTTGCCCCTTTTTCTTATTAACATATCTTATTTATATGAGGACAGGAGTGTTTTTCATATATAGATAATGTTTTCTGGTTTGTCATTACCGTTCCAGTTTCAATTCCATGCATGGCATATTTTAATTAGTAGAAATATTTTTCATTTTATGTAGATGTGTCTATCAATCATGTTCTTGTTCCAATGCCTTTTACTGAAAAATCTATCCATCCTCAAATGTTTGAAATTCTCCCTTTATCATTTACTCAATTTTCTGATGTACAGCTCTTGGCTCTGTTTCAGAACTTTCTGTTCAGTCAAGAATGATATTGTACCCAGCAGACCACTCATGTGGAAAATAAGAAGCAGAACATGACTATGATTCACTTCCCTTCCCACCCACTGCCCTCCCTTCCCATTGTTTTAAGTGCCCATATGAAACCTTCACCCTCAAATCTAATTTTTCTTGCAGAACACAAGCCTGATAAATACCAAGAAAAAACTAGAGGCTGACTTGGCTCAGTGCCAGGCAGAGGTTGAAAACTCCATCCAGGAGTCCAGAAATGCAGAAGAGAAGGCCAAGAAGGCCATCACTGATGTGAGCATCTTTCTCTGCTGAGATGATAGTAGGAGATGAGAAAGGGAGATTTCAGATCCAGGGCATGGCAAAGGGGGTATCGTCTCCTCTGAGCATAGCCAGTCTGTGATGGCTTCCTGGAGAGATGCCAGGAGAGAGGGTCATTGGAGAGGCAAAGTGGGGCATGATAACTGTGAGGGGAGGCACAAGATTATGGCATTTTCTGTGTGCTGGGTGATGCTGGGTGGGTAACCCACAGATGTGTTCTGTGAACTGCTCCAGGCCGCCATGATGGCAGAAGAGCTGAAGAAGGAGCAGGACACCAGCGCCCACCTGGAGCGGATGAAGAAGAACCTGGAGCAGACGGTGAAGGACCTGCAACACCGTCTAGACGAGGCCGAGCAGCTGGCGCTGAAGGGCGGCAAGAAGCAGATCCAGAAACTGGAGGCCAGGGTGGGTGTCTGGGGAAGGCACTGGCTTTCCAAAGTGACTTTTTTCAGCCATCTTGGGCAGAACCCACTAACCAGAAATTTAGATTTAGGTGGTGGGAAAGCACCCACCCACACACACCGATAGGTTCTCACCATGTAGAACTCACTATGTAGTGTAGCCGGAAGGTTTCTCCAGTCCTGCCTGGCCTCAGGGTCCCACAGCCACTTATAAAATAATCATTCAGAAGCTTAATATTATTTACAAACTGTATGGCCTATGGCAGGCCTCTGCTAGCTAGCTCTTATTGTTTAATTCAACCCATAACTATTAGTCTATGTATCACCACGTGTTTCATGGCCTTACCTGCATCCCATTACATGTTGTTCCTAGGAAGGCAGTCTGGTGTCTCCTCTATTCTGCCTTTCTCTCTCCTGTCTCTCTCCTTGGATTTCCTGCCTGCCTCTAAGCTGCCTCGTCATAGGCCAAAGCAACTTATTTATTAACCGATAGGAGCAACATATATTCATGGCGTACAGAAAGATATCCCCCAGCAACGTAGACCAGGCTAGCCTCTAACTCACAGAGCTCTGCCTGCTTCTGTCTCCCAAGTGCTGGGATTAACAGTATACACCAACATACTTGGCAAAGATGACATCTTTTACGGTTCGCTTCCTGTTACCCATGTAGAGTCACAGTTATGCACATATATGGGGGAAGCACTCTATGATCACGAAACTCCACACTTTGGCGTGGTATCTCTCTCAGACCAGGCTTCGCTTTGATGAGCAATGCTCCTTCTGTATAACGCCTCTGGCCCCCTGTCTCCTGCTCTCCGGTTATCCTCTTTCCAGCTTTTCTAATCTCTATATGCAGCTGCAGTTTTAGGGTGCATCCTGTCCCATCCCCAAAGGAGCTTGATTGGTGCTTCTTCCTCCAAATTAATACACCAGAGACACTTCATCTTCCCGGTACCAGGAGTCCCGTACTCACTCCCGGGGCGCATTTCACAGTCACTCATTTCCTTTGCTGATCTGTGCTTTGTTTCCTTGGCCTCTTGATTTTTCCCTTCAGATCTGTGTTGGATTATTTCAATCATTTTTGCGATGGGCTGCATGAACAATTGACATTTCAGAGACGGGCTGCATGGAGGAGGTTATTAGAATATCTCTTTTGTCCCAGGAAGAGAGAAAATGGAAGAGTGGGCAGGAGTGAGGAGGAGGAGGAGGGAAGAGGAGAGAATTTTCCCAACAGGAAGCCCCCAGTACAATTGTTCTTTATCCAAGCCTCCCTAGAACGTGGTCGCTAGGCACATGGTTCCTTTTAAATATGCAAAGGTTTTTATTTTTTGCCTCCCTGCTCTAAATAAAAAATTCTTCCCTTCCTTTCCCATGCATGAAAAGGAGCATAAGCCCATCCTTCTCATGGACCCCTTCCAGAAGGAAAGGACCAAGTCACACGATACCTTCTGGTTTTTCCTAGCTTGGCCAGGAGCCAGCGGTCACCTCACCCTGCACAGTCAGCCACTTTAACTGTTGTCTGATCCCGGCTGCCCAGTTTCACACATCTGATAAAGCTTACAGAGGCTTGGAGAGCAAGCCTCGGGGTAGGGGGATTTGTTATAAGACCTGATGAAAGAAAGTGGGACTCCATTTGAAATAGAGCCCAAAGGAAGCCTGCTTCCCCCGGGAGCTTTCAAAGTGGACAAAATGAGTCTCCTAGCATAAGCTGTGTTCTCTTTCTGATGCTGCTGGAGTCCCCAGGGAGAGGGCCAGGTGCTTGGTTGGATCTCTCTGGTTGTGGCATTTGTGGTATGGGTACCACAGTTGATGGTCTGCCATCTCAGTGACTTCTCTCTTCCCTCAAGAAAGCTATGGCATTGAGGTGATTCTTCACCTGCTTTCCCATACTTGATCTCATTCCACCCACCTTTGAGGTGGGCTGGGCAGCACTGATGGCAGCCATGTTCAATGATAGCAACTGTCCTGTTTTAGATCTGTCAAATGGCCTTAGGTTTGCATATACCTTGGTCTGCCCATGTCTACTGCCTTGTCTAATTAGAACTAAGCCATCCATAGAGTCCAGCAGATTTTACCTATGAGGACAAACAGGGCAGACTCCCAACCTGTGGTGCCCTTGTCAAAGTACACAGCCCCAGAGGAAGGGGCCTCTTTGCCAAGCCTGACCCAGGAGCCAAGTGCTATGCATCAGCGGCTGCCTCTACCCTGCAATAATTTGTACAAAGCTACGACATGGACTGGGCCTGGGAGAAGATGCCTCTGTAAAACACAGCAAGGTCTTGAGGTCACTTTAGGATGACTAGCATGTGAGTCTGCTAGAGAATGCTAGTAGCCTTGACCTCATTCTGTATGCTCTTTACTCCACACAGGTGCGGGAGCTGGAAAGTGAGCTGGATGCTGAGCAGAAGAGAGGGGCTGATGCTCTGAAGGGGGCCCACAAATATGAACGCAAAGTCAAAGAGATGACTTACCAGGTAGCAAGCTGCAAACCCTCGGGCACGGTTATGTGGAGCAGATCCCAGCAAAGGGAGTCAGGGCCTGTAGGTCCCAGCTATGGATGTTCTGTTTGCAGGCCGAGGAGGACCGCAAGAACATCCTCCGCCTCCAGGACCTGGTGGACAAGCTGCAGGCCAAAGTGAAGTCCTACAAGAGGCAGGCAGAGGAGGCTGTGAGTACTGGAGGTCCCTGTGCATCTTGTCACCCGCCAGGAGGTCCTCATGAAGCCTCAGTGGGAACCAGGGCCTGATCAGAATCATTCAGAGAGTCCCAGGCCTGACTTTGCACCTGCATGTCACACACAGACACACCGACCCTACATGCTCCCTTGGTCTCTGTTTGCTGAATCTTCTGCCTCCGGACTTCCTGTGCCCTCATAGCTCCCCAACTTCTCCCAGCCACCTCTATCCCAAACCTACATCTCTTTATCCCATTCCAGCCTGCTTCATTCTATCTACCCAGAGCGTCTTAGTTCACTCTGCTGGCCTTGCATCATCCCAAATCTCCCTAACCAGACCAGACCACTACCAGCACCAGCTCCTGCCCTCTTGTCCTCCTGTCCTGAATACCTTGTCCTGATGTTGTCATCCTACCACACTCTACTCTCCTGGCCTCCCATTCCCAGACTTCTATAGCAACACCCCCACACTCCTTTCCTTCCCTGGTTAACTGCCTCCTGATCAAACAGGTAAAATCAACAGGAAAGACAGTAGATGGGCCAAAACCAGTGCTTTGAAAGATGTTTTCCAGGGGCTTTGGGTCTGAGGGCAACAAATAGCAAAATGTTGGGGTCAAGATGGGAGGTAGCCTTTTCTTCATAGAAAATCAATTATACAGGGTATTGACACTGGCCTGTGATCTCTAGTACTCCAAAAATGGAACAGGAAGGTTGCAAGTCTGAGACCAGTCTGCACTACATGGAGATACCGTCTTTAAAAATATAATGAAAAAAAAATCAGTCTAATAAGGTTAAACTTGTTGCCTTCAAAGATTTCTGATATTATAGCTAATATGTAATTAACTCTCCAAAGTAAAGGGTCCTCTAGAACAGAGCCTTTCCTGCACTTCCTTAGCTTTGGGACCATATTCTTGCCTGCAGAGCATCTTTCAAGACCAATGTCTCAAGGAAGAAATGACTTGTGTATGGCCTCTTCCCTTTGCCCTTTTTCTTCCCTGCTCAGGAGCCTGGTCAGTTACCTTGAAGAAGAATACTGGAACCAGTCGAAAGTAGGGGGCTTGTGCATATCAGATTAGTACAGTCTCCACAAGACTATACAGAACCATATAATACTCTGTCCCAGATACATGGCAGTTATCAAAAGCATAAAACAAAAAGGACTTGGACCATTGGTCTGATACCTGCAGATGCCTTGAGAGAACTTTGGACCTGGGTCATCTCTGGGTTGTATAGGAGTTGTTTGGGAGAGCTATTGTAGAGAGAGAATTCAGAGAGATATGTAATGATCCTTGGGAGAAGAGCAAGAAGAGCTTGCAATGAGTCCCTAGTTAACATACCACCCTAGTTGTGGGCAGGACACCTTTCAACATTCTCAAGAGAACTCAGCTCATCTTCCCTCACTGCTGTCAGTGAATACAAGGCTCACATTTTCCTGGTTCCCCCAACTCCTCAGAGCCTCAGAATCACAGAGAGGTTCCATAACTGTGTGGCCTCTGTCTTCTTTCCATGCAGGAGGAGCAAGCCAACACACAGCTGTCCAGGTGCCGAAGGGTCCAGCATGAGCTGGAGGAGGCTGAGGAGAGGGCAGACATTGCAGAGTCTCAAGTCAACAAGCTAAGGGCCAAGAGCCGTGATGTGGGAGGCCAGGTAAGAGCAGATACCCAAGGACGGCGTCTTTCCAACAGGTTCTTCATACTGAAGGACCAACAGACCAACCAAGGAGAGCCTGGAGGATGCCTTTTGGTGTCTTCATCCTTGCCACTGGTCATACACCCACACATGCTTTTTTAGTATAGACTCCAATGTATCAGGCCCTAGCTAGAAGCACGGAGGACAGGCATGTCATCTCCCTCTCTCCCTATTGGTTGAGATGCAATCCAGCAAGCCCCTGCTTTTGAGGCGACTTGTCTTGTCCCCAGTAGCTTAACTGGTTCCTTTGTCAACACAAAGTGAGACAAGGCCATTCCGTAATGCCATTTTTCTGAAATTGCCCACTCTGCATCTGCTCCCCTTGAAGGGGGGGGATGCTGAACCTCCATGGCGTTTGACTCATTTCCTGTGTACAATTTCTTTTCTCCCACAGAAGATGGAAGAATGAGGCTCTCCTGAGGCTCGTTGCCATGGGCCACCTCCGGGAGAGAGGAGGTGGGAAAAATAAACTGTCCGCCACACTCAGAACCCAGGCTCTGCTGTGTTTGTTGTTGTGGGGTTGGGTTTTAGAATCTTGCCTGCTTTGCTGCAAATGGCAGGAAAGTCAGAAATGGGAAAATGTTTGCTCCTTGCCTCAAGCAGAAAAGGTGAAAACCCAGCCCGTCTCCAGGGAAACTGTCAGTTTCCACAAACATTTCCAAGTAAAGACCCGGCTGAGGGGTGTGGCTCGGTGGTAGAGTGTTTGAGTGACCCATGGGAGGCCCTGCTTTCCACCTTCAGCACCACACACAACAAAAGTAAACTGAAACCACAGACCCTGTATCAGCCCACACCTGATACCTGTTAGAACAGCTCTCACAGAAAGAGGAAGGCTAACAAGGGTTGGCGATGACAGAGAGAGAGACAGGAAGCCTTGTGCACTGTTGCTGAGAAGGTGAGTGGGTCCGCCATCATGGAAGACAGAAAACAAAAGCAATGCAGTGCTGTGACCCTGCAGTCTTCTGGGTGTGCTTGCAGAGGAAACAGGATCGGGATCTTGATAATGCTGTTGCACTTCTGTCCAATACAGAATTATGCACAATAGCCAAGATATGGAAACTTACCCTAAGTGTCTGTGCTGGGTGAATACATTTTAGAAATCTAGTATCCAAAACAATGGTGGCCAGGGCTGGGGAAATAGCTTGGTGGGTAAAGCATTGGCTGTGCAAGCGTGAGGACTGAGTCCAGATTCCACACTCACGTAGAAGTCCAGGAGGGGAGGTGTGCACCTGGAACCCCAGAGCTGAGAGGGAAGAGGCAGGAGGATCCCTGAGGCTTGTTAGTTAGCTAGTCTACCCTCAAGCCAACTGCTGTCCCCCGTGTTCAATGAGAGATCCTGTCTCAAAAAAAAAAAAAAAAGATGGAAGACAATAGAAGAGGATGTCAATATCTGTTCTCCACGTGGACACACACACATCACACAAATTCATACAAAAATGGTGTCTCATAGGCAACAGACTGTTCTTCAAGGCTTTAGGCAGAGGGAAATCCTGATGTGGCAACATGGATGAATTCAGAGGACACTGTGCTCAATGAAATAAGCCAGATATAGAAAGACAAGGGCTTGAGTGGTGTCATATGTGTGTGCAATTAATACAATCACTCATAGAGGCACAGCAGTAGTTGGAAAGGACTAGAACTTGGAAAAAAAATGAGAAAATGTTGGCCAAAAGAAAGTGAGCTTCAGGTGTACATGGTGAATAATTTCTGGAGATGTGGTGATGTGCACAGAAACTCCAGTCAATGTATCTGTGAGATGCTGTGTTCAAGCCCATTTAAAAAAAAAAAAAAAAGATTGTATAACTCAGCACTGTAAAACTCCTACTTGCCAATTATACCTCAATAAATGTGAAAAATAAACACTTCAAGAAGAGAAAGAAGGCTGGGTATGGTGGCACAAGCTTTAATCCCAGCACTGGGGAGGCAGAGGCAGGAGGGTCTCTGTGAGTTTGAAGCGAGGCTGATCTACATAGTGAGTTCCAGGGCTACATAGACAGACCATGTGTCAAAACAAAACAAAACAAAACAAAAGGAAGAAAGGAAGAAAGAAAAAACGGGAAGGAGGGAAGAGAGGGAGAGAGAGAAGGAAGGAAGGGGAGAGAGAGAGAAGACCCTTTTGAGTAATTACTATTTTCTTGTTAGGAATATGTAATTCTCACAAATTGGATTTTCTATCATTTCCTCGCATTAACTGAGGTTTAGTGGATTCAGATGACTCAACAGGACAGAGTAGAAGTTCAGCCCTGGAGATCAGACTCCCAGGCCAATGCTCTCTCACTCAGCTCCTCTGCCTTTCCCTCCCACGCCCTTTGGGATCTGGGCTGCAGAGCTCTCCAGTGCCCATTTAGAGCAGCTGAGCAAGCAGCGGGTATCATCAAACCCATTCACTCACAGGAAGTCAGATGCGCTGGGGGAAAGACTGACTGGGCCTGGGTACAACCTTGGTCTCCCCTGACTTGGGCAACTCTTCTCCACCTGCCTGCATCCTCTTCAGGATGTGCAAGGTCAAAGGGACCAGCTGGACCTGGAGAACTGCTGACATTATAATCAGGGCTGAGACAGGGGCCACTGCCCATCCCCTCTCCACCAAAACAGAAGCCAGTTAGTCTCAAGTCTCTCTTGGGTCCTAAAGGTCCTCCTGATTCTGATTGTACTGATTGGCTGGCCTGGTGGGGTGGGGTGGGGTGGGGTGGGGTGGGATGGGAACCATTATAGAAAGCTTAAGAGTCAATATTAAATATGAGCCTCGGCCTGACTATTCACAGGCTCTTGCTATGTGACCTTGGGTTGATTTATGTTCTCTAAACTTGAATTTCCTCATTGGGTACCCGACCTGTGCAGTCAGGAACACAGGGTCTGGAGTTGAGTGAGCAGACCTAGATGGAATTCTGATACGGTCACATTAAGCTGTGTGGCCTTGGGCAAGGGTTCTCTCTTAACCTTACTTTCCTAATTCTTTACGGTGGAAAAAAAATCATAGCTATGGACCTTTATGCTTTATGATTGATGTGATTTTATTTATGTGTGTATGTGTCTGTGCACATGTATACATGCACATACATGTACAGGTACCCATGGAGACTGGAAAAGGATGTGGAATCCTATGGAGATGGAGTTATAGGTGTTTGTGAGCCAGCCAATGTGGCTATAGGGATCGGAACTCCAATCCCTGTGACTGAGCAGTGCACACTTCCTGGCTGGATCTCACCCTGCCAGAGTCCTGTCCTTCCCAACCTTACTA